TTTTCACAACACCAGACACTTCCACAGTGTGTTATGTTACAGATTTATGGCTCATTCACAGGCATTATTGTCGTTGACAAAATATCAAAATATATGAGAAGGTAAAAACGCATAAAGACGAAAGTATCACATCAGCCGCTTTCGTCAAACATCACTACGGATTAATACATGAACTAGGACGCGCAGAAGTTTTCTTGGATCGGTGGAGTGTAATACGCAAACTGTTCATGATAGAAATACTTTCCTATTATTTTTGCATAATTAACTATTCCTATTCATAGTGACATGCCTTTAGTACCCTTCCTCGAAAAACTACGATATAATCTGTAAACTACTACATGTGGATAAACTAGAAACAGGCAGCTGTGGACTAGTACAGTTGCGCTGGAGGAGTCTAGACCATTTCAGAGTTTTACAACCACCATGCATAACATGAGTTTTTCCTGAGCATGAATCCTGCTTACAGGGACACCAAATCTTCTAACTGGAAAACTATAATTTCAACCCTAGTAGTACATGTAATTTTCCTACAAGATGAAATCATGCAAAAACGCATGATCGCACCAGCAAGCCTGGCGCATCGTTACCTAAGTTAATTTTCGTGCAGCACATAATAATTACTCTCGCAATGCATAAAGTTAATTTTAAGTTATTTCATATATAAATTAAGTCGTTTTTTATGCATGATTTTGGGGAAAAGAACGATAATTTAGGGTATCGATTTAGGTTTAGGATTTTTTCCTAGCTTACCTCCCTCTTGGCAAAAAGGAGCTACCTTTGTCTTCGTCAATAAACGGGCAGTACACAGCAGAGCAAGTGCTTTAGCCCCACAAAAATTAACTTTGCAGATTTGCATGCACGAAAAATAGAGGCAAATTTTAGTTGGAAAGAACAGAGAAATTCTTTACATAGCTTAAATTTCGAAGAAATCAAAAAGCAAATTTACATCCGAAAATAAGCGAGACCAAAAAAAGGACCGAGAGCTGCAAAGAACCGGAAAATGAAACAGATTAAATGGGAGAAAAAGTAAAGTAAAGTAGAAAAGCGATAAACGCATAAAAATAACACGTGAAGCAGGAAGCGATCGGGGGGAAAATTACATGAGGAGTAACGATGACGATGACAACAACAACCACTGAAACACAACAACGGTACGGATGGAACTGAATAAATTATGCAAAAGCACAACATAAAAATTAGGAAATGATGATATAGGGATGTTTTTACAAATTTTCTTCGGCCGCACGAGCTTCCTCCAGAATTTTATCGAATGAGAAGGGGACGAACGCATATCCAAGCCCTTTGTAAAACTTACTCTGGAATTCAACCCTGAAAAAATGCATAATCAGCTCGAAAAATATACAAACGGTTACTTTTCTTCCTTTCATGTAATGTATTGTATTCATAAAACTTTCCCTTTGAAATTTTTAAAATTGAAATTTTCAAGAAAACGTTCTCACACTGGATCAACACAAAGCTTTGAAAAAATCATCATTCTATTCTGATTATCAGTAAACGAATTTCGCTAACGCACTAACACAACTATGCGCTAAACAGGAACGCCAAAAAAATTTGACTGGAAGCAAATCAGCACTAAATTACTGAACAATTAATGACCCCTATAAACCTAATAAAGTTCGTCCACGCATCTGGGCGATATGTTGTGCAGGTAAGTTTCTAGCGCAAAAACATCACGGAGCGTGTTAGTGAATTCGAAATGAGCCGATCTTATCCTAACCGTCTTATCAGGATGAACCAAAAATTTGTACATAAGGAGTATAAGAAATGAGGGAACTGATCAAAGCAGGCAGTCCAAAATGGCATAACAGCGGGCAGCATCTAGTGTAATATAAACCTGCCCCTGCGGGTCTTTACCCTTGTAAAAGAGTGATTCCAAATTTGGTTCAAGTTGGTCCAATTTTGATTTTTTTTCTTTTTTTTTTTTGTTCAACTAAGGAAAGCAAGTAAACGCAAACATGG